AAATGTAAAAAGAAAATCAACACTAAGAATGATAATATGTTGAATATTTGTTCTTTAGTTTTACATTGGTTTAGACAATTAAAATACATAATTTAATTTTAATTTTTCTTAAAAATTTAGTAATGTAATTAATACTTATTGAAATTATTTTAGCATGATTTAGTACTTTTAAATTATGATAATTTTCATTATGACTTTACAATATTTATTTTATATGATAATTTCATTATTATTTTTTATTGAATATTTTTGTGTCATCAATACTCATCTAATATTTTGTGTTATTTTTTTTTAAGAAACAACTTAGATAGTTATGTTTTGGTTGGACTAAAGAAATATTTGAAGCACAAGTTAATTATATGTTTGTATGCAAACTTTACCAAAATAATCCAAAAATTTGAAGTTTATTAGTTTGATTTGATTTATAAATTTAAAAATTTGACACAATGGGTTGGTTTGATATTTTGAAAAATCCGAACCAACCCGAGGTTTAAAAAACCGAATTTTATTAGTTTGATTTGATTTATAAATCTAAAATTTTTACATGAATGGTTTGATTTGACATTTGATTTATCCGAACCAACCCGATATCGATCATGTACAACCCTAAACTAATTATCCTTATCTATAACATACATAAAAATATATATATTTTATGTTTTACCCTCAACGTTAATTATTTATTTTCAAATAATTTCTTAAGATCTAAGACTATATATACAACAACTATTATGGGTAGTATGATAAAATTGTTTATATTAATCATTATCTTTTAAAAAGACATACAAAATTCAAAATGGAGAAATAAAAGTGAACGGAGAAAGCAACTTGTAAGTTGTATCCTCCATTGATCAACTTTTGAAACTAAGGGTCCGGTCCGTTTTGGTCATGATTTCGAATCACGTTGATTTGAAGTTGATATTTTGTTTGATCTTTTAATTTGTATTAACTTTGGGAATCAAATGTATAGTCTTAGAGATATTCTATATACATTATCCCATCAAATTTTTTTTAAAAAAAATATGGGGAAGAGAGGGAATCAGAAGGCGAAGAATTAAACTCTAACCAATAAATGAAAATTCAAATAAATAACACATATTGAATTTTTTTAATTTGATGTTATTTTAACCTGCTATAAACATAAAATAAATTAGTCATTCCAGAATTATAATTTCATAATAATTTAAACCGCGAATCAATTTAACGTTTGAGCACATCATCGCTTGCTAATCGACGTGTCATATTCCTTTCTCTATAGATTAGTATTATCATATGATTCAACAAAAAGAATAATGTTATATTGGTCTTAAATTGACCAACTTAACCAAATTCCCTTTTTTCCCATCTTGTTTGAATGATTTATATTGGATTTATTTATTTGTCTTTATAAGAGTAATAAATTAAATTTGAGTTATTGCATGACCAAGGAAGTGATATCTTTTTTGTTATACATAAAAAAAATTTCCACTGAGATGAGTTAAATTCGATAAATATAATCAATAAGTATTTATATAACCAACTACAAAAATATAGTAATTTTTTACAGCATGATTTATAATATCGACTTTGTGCTAAGTTAAAACAAACATAATTATGTGTGATTAAGAAGAAATATAAAGTTGAATGACGATGTGTTGAACAAAGCAATGCATCATGTGGCATTGATATCTGTTACCATCTCCATCCGGAGCTTAACAGATGAAAAATGTTGATAAAATTCTAAAATAGCATATGAAATTTTTTAAAATTAAAATGATAAAATCGTTGATGAAGTAGCGATTTTGTCCGAAAAAACAAAATCACTGTTATCACAATAATTTGTTAAATTTGATTTTTTTAAAAAAATCACTTTAAGTCGCTGCTGAGGCAGCGACATATGAAAAAAATTATTTAATTTTTTTTTGATAAATAGCTCTTTTGGGAGCGGTTTTATTTTAATTTTTTTTTAAAAAAGTAAATTTAACAAATCGCTACTACAGCAACAATTTTACTTCCGTATTTTGAAATTTTTGTAACATTTTTCGCCCTTTAGACTCCGAACTCCTCGTATAATTAGACTTTAGAGTAACTTATTTTAACTTTGGACTATTATATTGATGAGATTAGTAAATTAAGCAAATTTATATATTTATATATATATGCTCCAAGACAAAAATAAAATAGTAAATGTTCAAAAGACGGAAAGGTTATTGGATAAGTGTTAATCATATTATTCCATTCGTCGTATATCAAAAAATTAATTAAGGATATGATTAATTTTTGGATTTACTTTGGAATCAACTTAGATCGATAATTATAAACTGATCATGCATTATTTCAACTTTGAACATCAATAATGTGTCATTTTCAAATCAGCAATAAGTCATTTTATATATTATATATATATATTCGTCCATTTTAACTGTCGTTTAAACTCTCTCAAAATAACTGTAACAATTAAAGTTTTAACAATTATTCGTTAGCTCACCCTTCTTAATTCTGCTCAACTCTCAAATACTATCTAATGAACACGAAGAATATGTCATTTTGAAATCAGCAATAAGTTTTTTTTATTATTATTTTATATTTCCCTATATAGACCAAAAAAAATAACGCTACTGTCAGGATAAATATATCTTTGTGTTATGTTTTTTATGCACATATTTAAAGGCTTGTGATTAACAAAATTTATATATGTGTATAAACAAAGTAATAAGCAAAGTTGAAATAATGTCAAATTTTGAAGTTTACTAGTTATATATATGTGATTACATGAATATAAAGTTCAGAAAAACTTTTAACCTAAATTAATTTTATGTAAAGTTTCGTAAATTATTAAACCTATTTAGGACTAAGGAATATTAATTAGCTAAGTGTAACAAGATTTATTTCACCTTGGAAATGATAGAATCAAATTGGAATACGTAGCTTGGAGAGTATCTCAGTTACATTATAACATAAATCCGATACATAATATGTTACTTCGATACATTAAAAACTAGTTCAAATATCTAGTATGTAGTCGGATAAATTAAAAACTAGCTCGAATATGTTGTAAATTAAATCAAATACATAATATGTAGCTTGTATACATTAAATATGTAGCTCAAATATATCAAAAAAAAATAAAGATTTTAGAGGCTTTTTCTTTTTAGAAATAGAAGGGGACGTGTATTTGAGTATTTTTTCTTAAATAATATTATAAACTGATGATATTATTTCAACTTTAAAGAGCAGTGTGTCATTTTGACATCAACAATAAGTCATGATTTACACTCTCAATATATACATTTAATATTCACTGTGGGGGTATGTTAAAACGAATTAGCTAGGATAAAGATATCTGTAAATCATTCATTGTTATCCTTATCCCACCAAGAAAATTGATGTGTCCCTTGAGCAAAAGCAAGTATTTTATAATATTGATTAGCTAAAAAATATATACTTATATATGAATTATAGTATATTTTATAGTTTTATGATATAACAACATGATCACGCTAAGGTTTTCATCCAAACAACTCACTAGAATTATGAATAATCCGTTTAACTTTGAGCTGTCTTTCTATTATAAAATAATTAACATTATATAATTAAGAAGTTCGAAAATTAACTTGTCAAACTCCAATCCTCTTAATTATTATTAGCCAAACAACTTTTATATTATATATATATATATATATATATATCAAATATATATATATGATCGAACTCATAAATAAATTCGTAAATTTGTTGGGGTTTAACTCATAAACAAATTCATAAATTTGTTGGGATTTTCCCTTCAAGTACCTTAACTATGTTATTTTCCTATTGAATCATTGGACCACCCATAATTTATTCCTTTTAAACACCTTTGGCTTATTTTGATCGGTTTTTCTATCGTAAATGCTTTCAATTGTGTTTGTATTATAATGATTTTGATTGAAATAATGAAGACAAATTGTGTGTTTGTCTCATTTGTTTTCTAATGTGTTCAAATGACTTGAAGTAAAACACAATTATTCTCAAACATTTTCACTATCAGTTAGACTAATGAGTTCTCGAGCAACACATGTATTCTCTATCAATACCCCTCACAAAATTTGGTTCCACATCAGCTAACAATGTTTAAAATGAATAAATTACGAGTGGTTCAATGATTCAATAACATAGTTGAGGTACCCGAAGAAAATCCTCCACAAATTTAGAAATCTATTTATGTATTTGGCCTATATATATAATTACTAATTAAGAGCCTTGCTGAGTAAGTGTTTTGGATTAAGGTTAGAATAATGTCTAGTTTGAAAATGATTAAAATGGTCCTTGATATATTGGATTGCTTTCTTTTGGTCCTTAATATATTTTGGGTAAAATGTGTTCAATTTAATTTTTTATCCTAAACTTAACAATTTACACCCAATATATATATAATTTCTTCTTAAATTATTTTACTTAGGCTGTTTATTTAATTTTCTTTTTAAGTTAATACTTTTATTACATTTTTTCCCTCGAATTTTCCTTTTTAGCCTTTAGCTATAAAAGAGTCTTATTTTTTCCTCCTAAATTAACATTACCTATATTTTGCAGCTGTTCAATATTTAAAAGAAAATTAAAAAAAGACCCCACGTAAAAAAATAAAAATAATTCGGAATAACTTTTTCCCGCTATATTTATGGACAAGATAATATGTTGCTAAGATTGTGAAATTATAACAATTTTTAATACTAAATATATATTCTATTTATTAGTTAAATTATAATTAGAAATTTATTTTTAAAAAGCTAAATCTTAGCCATTTATTTTAATCTATGTCACGTATCACTAATTCAAATAAAAATTTGAAATAAATGAAGAGAAACTATGACATGTAAATATTTTTAAAAATTTGTAAATTATATCAAATAAAATACTAAATTATTAAGGTTACCAAATATAATACACCAATATATTTTTTTTAAGAGTAAAATATCACTAAAAAAGAAAAAGTATTCATTCATTTTGAAACCAACAAAAATAAAATAAAATCTATACTCATATGGTTATATAATCCAGGGGAAACTCCGGCCTCCGCGGCTCCTTGGCCTTCAAGGAGTCTCTGACTGTGTCTCTATATAAAGGATAAACAAATTGAGTCCACAACAAAACTCTGTTTTTTTCAAGCCAATCATTGAAACCAAAAAAAAAAAAAAATCATCCCCTGTTTCTTTATTCATCTATAAAAGAAAAAAAAACTAATCTTTATTATGTCTTCTTGTACTACTAGCTTTTCAACCAAAGTGTCACCAACTTTTAGGAAGAATGATATTTTCCTGAAAAAACAAATGTTGGGAACTATTTCTTTTTCTTCCAAGAAAGATTCTTACTTGGGTTTCACTGCCCAAACTAGTAGTCAAACAGATTTTGTGTCTGCAATGGATGAAGATTGTAAATTGGAATTGAAATCGAATTATATATCAGATGGGTATTGTAAAGAATTGGAGATTGCTGTAAGAGCTGTTCATATGGCTTGTTTGCTCTGCCAGAGGGTTCAAGAAAATTTGTTATCTGAAACCTCTGAACATGTTCATTCTAAGGAGGATGACTCTCCTGTCACAATTGCTGGTATGTCTTCTTGTTGTTCTATATATTGTGTTTTGGTGAATTGGGTTTTTGTAGGTGAATTGGGGAAGGAGAAAGATTGTGTCTTTTTGCTTTTTTGAGTATTCATTTTGGATATTGTTGATTAGATAGTATGGGTAGGAGTGTGTGGTTTGGGATCCTTATCTCGTGAGCTAGCTTTTAGGATTAAATTACATTATTTAATTTTATTTGGAGTTCTATGTAGTCCATGTTTTCTCCTGTGAAATGGAACATACTTTTTTGGTTTTCTGTAGTGCTATTGAAGTTGTGTGGGAGTTAAAGCATACTAACCTAATTAATCTTCGAGTGTATTTGTTTAAACTTTAAAGCTCACAATGTATAAAGACAACCTAATGCACTATGTACTGTTATGTTTTACGACTTGTAGACTTCTAAAAAAGCACAAAATAACAGTCATTCAAGCCAAGTCATTGATGCCTTTCTCTTTGTGATGAGTTGCTGCCTTGTCCAAATATGTTTGTTGAGAAAAGTAACAGGAAGAGTCAAAGAGAAACAAGAAAAGATTTTGTGTTGTACTCCTACATGATCATTTAGTTATTAAATTTATAAATAAGTGTATATGATCGTCTTTTTTTTTTTTCGTCACTGAGTTTCAAGGAAACAAACATAAATCATAAAGTTACCATACAACATTGAGGTAACCACAATCTTCTCCGAAGGTGGCATCCCTCGTGATGGGAACAGTTTGATGATCATGGCTGGATATTGAATTCCATTCATTTTTACTCAACAAATCCATTAATATATCCTTTTTGTCTCCCAAGAAGTAATAATCTGGTCTAAGAAACTTTTTAACATAAATATTATCATTGTCTGATTTATAGTAGGAAACTTTACTGGTGATGATAGACTGAAGATTATGTCATTTATGTTGTAAATACTGACAATAAAAGAACATATGACATACAAGGTTGTACTATCTTAATAAGAGAATTATAGAATCAGAATCATAAGATGTCCCAGACTGGGACTGAAGAAGATTTTATCTCTGAGGAGCAAGTGCTCTGTCTCTAAAACTATATCCATCTCTTTCCTGTTTCTATCTATATAACATGGAATCATTTATGGGTAAGTCTACTTTTATGTCACAAAGTTGAACGGGTGTGACATGGGTATAGGTGCTTCATGCTGAGTTTTCAAATTAAATTACAATAAAAATTGACGTGAAAACAAATATGGATCCATGTAACATTAGGTGCAATTTTGGTCCAATGCATTAAGTTGGACCTAAATCTTCAAACGTGAAAGCATCAAGCTTTACTTTCTGATGTCATGCTGTGGTTTTCATTACTTGTTAGATTGGAGCGTCCAAGCAATTGTCAGCTGGGTACTGTCCGAGGCTTATGGCAGTAACGTCTCTATTGTTGCTGAAGAAGATGTAGAAGCTCTTTCCAAGGCTAGCGCAGCTGGTCTGTTAGAAGCAGTAGTAAGAACTGTGAATGAGTGTCTAGCCGATGCTCCTCGTTTTGGACTGAAAGGTCCTGGTACTGATCTGGATGCTAAAGCTGTTCTTGAGGCCATAAGTCGTTGCAGCTTAGCAGGTGCCAGAGGTAGCAAGTTTTGGGTACTGGATCCTGTTGATGGCACGTTGGGTTTCGTGCGTGGAGATCAATATGCCATTGCTTTGGCATTGATAGAAGACGGAGAACCTGTGCTTGGGGTTCTCGGATGTCCAAATTATCCTATGAAGAAGGAATGGCTTAGTTATCAAAATGGTTATAGGAGAATCTTATCTAGGTTGAGCTCCTCTACATCTGAATCTTCGGATAGAGGTTCTGTACTTTATGCAAGGAAAGGTGGCGGCAGGGCCTGGATGCAACCGTTACTGCGCGGAGAAAGTAAGTTTGTGTGGCCAAACGCTGCAAGGGAAATTAGAGTATCCTCCATCGATAACCCAGCACTAGCTACCTTTTGTGAACCAGTTGAGAAGGCAAATTCAAGCCATTCATTCACAGCAGGACTGGCTCATAGTGTTGGACTTCGGTAAATATCTCTCACAATTCCCTCTCGTATTCCAAAACTGATCTTCCTATCTTCCAGTCAACGTGTGTAACTTTCAAGATTCTATATTTACGATTGCTTACTAGTTGTCTTAGCATGTCGCATCTATTTCTGGATATGTTTTTCCCATGACAGCTATAATGCAATGCAACCTCTAGTATGATGTTGATGCATTCAAGATGTCTTATAAATCTCAGCTAACAGCATATGAACTGCAGGAACCAGCCGTTACGTGTATACAGCATGGTAAAGTATGCAGCCATAGCTCGAGGAGATGCTGAGATATACATGAAGTTCGCTAGGGCTGGTTACAAGGAGAAAATATGGGATCATGCAGCTGGTGTTCTTATCATTGAAGAAGCCGGTGGAGTGGTGACCGATGCAGGAGGGCAACCACTAGACTTCTCAAAAGGCGAATACTTAGAAGGACTTGATCGCGGTATAATTGCTTGCGCTGGAGCCAAACTGCACGAAACGATCATCGGGGCTGTAGATGCTAGCTGGAACTCCTCTAGCCTTTAACCTACTGTATGTTACTCAAAAATTTCAGCCTAAAATGTGGTCAAATGGTGTGCATAGAATCATCTATGTTGCAAATATGAATAAATGATAGTACTAGGCATTTACTGCAACCGTGGGTAATGATTTTTTTTTTATTTTCTACCCGATGTTTGATATCGTTATTGGAGCCTGACTAAATTTAAATTCGTATCGAGAAGTGGAGGCACTGATTTATTGCACTATGCATTGTGGGAGCCAAAATTGGAAAAAAATGTCTAGCATCAGCATGTGGATATTTATTTCATTAAAAGAAAGGAAAAATGCTCTGAAAAATATTCCAATTTTGATCGAAATTATTATTGCGATATCAAATTTTATGGTTTTATAGTGTATTTTAAAGATAGGTATGTGTCCATGTGAATACATTACTATTTATAATTATGTAATATTTTTTTATATCCACGTGGACATATATATATACTTTTAAAAATTAAAATACATTATTAAATAGTGCAAAGGGTAAAAAATATTTTCTAAAATTTAATATTATTATCGGCTTATAATAATTTCATCAAAGTTCGAATGTATTTTAGAATTTGGTTATATCACCTTAGGTAAACATATAGGGAAAATATACAGCGAGTGAAATTCAATAGGATGAGTCCAATTTTCTTTTAATGTCTTTGTCAGTTTTAATTTTTTGATTAGACAAATATTTTTTTAAATATTATAATTACATTCAAAACGAGAAAAATAACTTCTCATAGAAAAAATACTTTTTAAATTTTCTTTTCCTTTTTTTAATTTGATTAAAATTATTTACCTCTTTTAATTCTTCAAAAATAAATAAATCTCAAGCATCCATTTTTACCAAACATGACAATAAATAACCATTGTATTGGCATGTACGGATACTATTAGATGGACCAAGCATTTAACAAACATATTTTGGATCATATATTAAAAATCATCTTTAACATATTTTGAAATTTTAAAGCTTTTTAAATATTTTGAAATTCTTGCTCTAGAGCAGTTTTTAGGACTCTCACTCATAACATAATTTTTTTTTTTTTACAAAAATATCTGCCTAAACACAACTTTAAAAATTTAAAATTTTAACATTAAAATTTATGTTCAAACGGGGCTTAGTATTGAAGTATCTTCAAAGGACAATTTCGTGTGAGCTGGCTTTTCTAGCCACAATAAGTTCATACAAATTTCAAATTAAAACCGCTGATATTTAACGCGTTTTCATTTTTTGACAAAATTATAAAAAACAATTGACACGGAAGTTATGATATATAGATAATTAATCTATTGCTTGGATTTTCTAAAATCAAAATCAAACCAAATTAGTTATATCATTTTTTTGGTTACACAAATATTATTTCAAACTTTATTTTTCAAGTTATAGATAAAAAATAATATATTTTTTAAATCGTTTTTTTCTTACTCAATACTAAATATAAGCCTAATTGATTATATTTTTTTTTCCAATTTACTTGAATTTTCAGTTTTGTACGTTTTCTCGATTTGATTTGTACCACCCAACTTGTATAATCACATTTATTAATTTGTACTCCATTAATGTAAAATTAATTCTCTGCTTCCTAGGGCTCATTAAGCCAGCCCCTATCTCCAACCCTACATGCCTAATTTATAGAATTACAGCACACCCCAACTAGGTCCATATTTATTGTCTGATAATTTAAAACGATTTGATTAATTTGAATTCAGGTTAAATATGAGGTAATTAGCACTTTTAAATTACGTTTAAAATTCAAAATTATTAGTCAAAGATTCCTAACTATCTTGTCACACATTCTCAATGATAAGTCATTTTACATCTATATAATAAATATGTACACATGTTTAGGGATAAAACAAAAAAGAATTTATTTGAACCGATTTGTTGAATAATTCTTATGTAAACTCTGTCTCTATCGCTGTATATGTTTTGACGCATTAATAACACTAATTAAAAAGGAAAATATCTAGACATATCTAATATAAACATGTATACTATATAGTGTAATAAATTGCACCCACCCTATTCTAATTATATAAAGTCTTCATAAAAATGTCCCAACTACCATCTCCTTATAACTCTCTCTTTTCCCATAAATATTACTCAATTCTTCTCCTCTCTCTTTCACCAAAAAAAAAATGAAGAAAATCTCCATTACTCTCTTAGCTCTATTGCTCATCATAACATTCAATTCCACCATTGCTACAAGACACATTCACCCGAATAAACACGGGGTTGGAAAAACAAAGAAAGGCAGTGGCGAAGTCAGAAATAATAACGGTGGCGATGTGGGTTTTGGTGGGATATTTGGGCCTGGTGGAGGGTTTAATATTCCTGGGCTTGGTGGTGGAGTATTTGGTGGTGGATTTGGAGGCCCAAAAGGTGGATATGGAAAAGGTGGAGTCATAAGGTCTAGTGTTGTGTGTAAAGTAAAAGGCCCATGTTTTGGTATGAAATTAATATGTCCAGCAAAATGTTATAAATCATATTCTAGTGCTGGAAAAGGTTATGGTTTTGGTGGTGGATCTGGTGGATGTACTATGGATTGCAAGAAGAAATGTCTTGCTTATTGTTAACCCCACCCCACCCAAAAAAAAAATAAAATATACCTAAGTAAGTTATTTGTTATATTTATATTACTTATAATATGTGTTGTTTGGTTGTATTTGTTTTGTCATGTGGAACAATATATTATGTTAGCTAAGTTCTACATTTTTATGATACAAGTAATAGAATTCATGGTGAAAAATTCATGTTTGGGATTGAGATGTTACTTTGATTTATATTTGATGATCTTATTAGTATTGTTGAATCGTTTTTTGAATTTAAAATTTTCTGGCTCTGCAACTATTTCGAAGGATATAGTAGTTTAAGAATGTTGCGTGGGAAATTATACATCTTTGAAATTCTAAATTGTGGACAAATTGATAGATTTGGGTGAATTAAAGATGTTTGTACTCAATTAGCTGGATACATTTAATCACATTGACTAAGAACTTGAAGAGGGGGAGGGGTTATGATTATGAGATTAATACTTCATTAATATGGTGCCAACTTCTTATTAATTGTGAGTTGTAACCTTATATTATATCATATCTATAGATTGATTAAGAAAAAAAAGATTTACGAAATTAGCATCGAATCATAAATAAACAAAAAATTGAAAAGATTTAATATCATTCAATTGCACTCAGTAGATGTATTATTATACATTTTTTCAAGAGAAAGAATATATTTAAGATATTCTAAAACAATATTTTAATACCGCGTGTCATTATTGTGTATGTACTATTTGAGTTAATTCACTCTGATGTATCAAAGGCCTCTCTATTGTCTCCCTTAAAAGTCCTTTATGAGTTTCGAATCCGAAAAAAAAACATTATAATTCAACTTACTAAATCAATTCTCTGTAGGTTCTTTCAACTTTCAAATCAAAATTCATTACAAGATGTTATTGGAGAAGAATGTTTGATTTTCAGAAGAAACATATTACAAGAAATGAGTATGACAAAAATAGCAATATAAACATAATATAGATTGTGTCTCCAATTAAACAAAAGGAATTCTAAATCTTTTTCCTAACAGCACTTTGGTCTAAGTAGTCATAAATAAAAGCATAATCACCAAAAGCATATGCAAAACAAGCAGCATATATGTCAAATTGAACTAACTAAAACATATAATCACCAAAAGCATATTTAACAGCCTTCTACCAAGAACATTTCTTTCAATTATATTGCTGCTCTAAGGGCACCTCTAGCAGCTTCTTGCTTCATCTGCGCGGCTTTACCACTTCCTCGGAAATACATGTATACTTGCTGCATTATGAGAGTAAACATGAACCAGGAGATTTCATTCGAGGATCGAGTGAGAAGCATATTTTGGGAAGCAGATAAACAGAAAATGAGTCTGACCTGAATAACCCAAATGCTCAGCAATGACTCGAGACAAAATAACCCAAAACCGATGAAGTAGAAAATCTAATAAGGGAAGGACAGCAGATTCATGTTAATAACCTTTATTAGCTTGAGTTAAAACTTTCATTAGAAAGAAGTTTTGAGTAGGTTCTGTTCTTCCATTTCAAATTAATGAAAAGGTAGTCCATCTAAACAAAAAGGCGCAAAAGGTACGTCAGGGATACTATGGATTGTGATGAAAATAGTCATAACTCACCCCAACAAGTACATTTTTGCCGATGAGATCCACCGCAGGCAGGATGCCTCTGTTCCAACAAATAACAGAACATCAGATCATTTTAACGGTTAGCTACTTCATAGATGAAATCCATGTGAAATTGAAAAGCAATAAGCTTGGCGAAAGCAGAACTCAGTGTTTTGGTTGGAAGGGAACTAGTATGCCGGAAACAGTGGATTTATTTGAGTCTCTTTTTTTTTGGAAAAAGGTGACAGTGTTAATGTAATTTTACAACTCTTTCTAAAAAGTCAAAAGCAATATGGAACTTACGTAAGGGATTTTCCTCTGAAGACTACTGGAGGAGCAACAGCAGCAAAGACGCAAAATACAATGTGAACCTGCAAACACAGAAAAATCTATGACAGCTGAACATTTGAATCAGATATCCAAGATATCTTTGACTTTGTATTTTGTAATATGGACTCAGGTACAGGTATGTACACGGTAGGGAGTAATCTTAACTTTTTTGAAAGTTTCTAGTGTATTTTAAAGGATCCTTATAAAGTACCCATTCCCATGTCATTCACGTTGAGCATATGGCAGAATAACAAAAAGTATATAACATAGACAAAAACAATTGCATAAGGAACTTACCAAGTAAAACAAGAAAAACCACGCAAACTTCATGGCACCCTCAGTTCTGTGACCAAATACCACGATTAGTATGGGAAGGGGAAAACAAGGCAAAAGAAAAGAGACAAACAAGGGGATAAACTCGTGGGAGGCATATGCAAAATTTAAAAAAAGAATCAGTTCTCTGCAACATTGACAAAATTTTCGAATTTATTACTTCAGCAATAACAACCAACAAAAAGATCAGTTATCGCATTTAAAAACTGTTTGATAATTTCTGAAGTAAATCAGCTCAATTCTCTGAAAAGACAGATAAGTTTACCTAAACGCACGATACAGAGGACGATACCACATGAAGTAGGCTCCAGGAACACCTGATATGAAGTATATGATAGAAAGGAACCAGATCTTCACATCTACAGACAAAAACTAAAGTAAGTATTCTGACTTCATCGGATAAGTAATGGCATGTAGAGGCAGGGTGACATGCCGATTCGATGTACCTCCTTCTTTAATCCATGCTGTAGTTGTAGCTACAATGTTCCATAATAGGCATGCAATAAGTCCTGCTCACGATCAGCATATATCTCATTAGCAAGAGAAAAACAAGAAACTCACATACAGTACAAAATGACAAATCATACTCAAAAAATTATTCCAGGCACACAGATCTATCAAGTTATAACGTGCAAAAAAAATTTATTCAACAACCTGAACAATTCACTAGCAAAAGCTTGTTTGAGTTGCAATTTTCACCATAAGATTCAGTTACAATGTTGATCGAAAGTGAGCAAAAACATATGGATCCCTCACTTGTCTGCTGGTGCAGTAAAGTGTACCGAAATAGACATAGTGGCACTTACAGGAAGATCATTCGAAAATACTAGAAATTTTGCAAAAACAATTCCCCCACCTCTACCAGACACTTATACTCTTACTGGTATGCACACATTTTTAAGTCCAAGTTACATGGGAAGGGGGACGAAAAAGAGAAGGATTATAAATTCAAATCTCTGTTTTTCTTTCTATAAGGACTAAACTAGGGTCTTTTTAGTTTCTGCAATATTGTACCTAATTCCTTGAAGGCCTCCAAAAAGGCATTATATGGGGATCTGACTTTTTTGGTACATTACTATTAGAGTCCAACTATTTTTCTGACAATTCTATCCGAACATCTCTAAATATTTTCTACTACAAGAAGTTGTGTTTAGTGCTTCGATGTATTTTTTAAATGTGTAATTTAATTTAAACAAATCAAGGAGTTGATTTTAAAATTAGATGTGTGACGAATTCGCTCCAAACCTCACAATTTTTTGGACGGAGGGTACACCATATAAGAACACAAACCCATCTAAAGTATGCACCATATACGGTGTTCCAAATAGAATAACCGAAGACATGGTAAGCAGGAGATAACATACCCAAGAACGTTGTAAATGCAACATATTGTAGCTTTTGAAGATGAATTGGTATTTCATTTGCAATATCATGATGGATGATTGGGAAGAACGGAGGCCAATTTTTCTCCTCGAGAACAATGCCGGCTGCAATTGAAAGATGAACTGAACTTGTAAGATACTACAATAATCACAGGACAGAAGTTCCATCTGAAATACATTATTCTACAAAACTAGAGAGGTACTCAGGCAAATCAGAGAATTGAAAGTTATATTTGAACATCAAAATTCTACTTCAAATGTGGAAAGAATGGTGGAGACCAGTATGAGAAGATGAAAAAATTTAAATTGCCCTAGATAAAAATCAGAAGGCTCAATCTGGAACATAGAAGGTACCATTATCTTTCTTCCTTCGGATGTAATTAGAAACTATATATGGATTTCTCACTTCATATTAGTAGTTTAAATGTCTAAGAATATTGCAAGATTGAATATTCATTGAAGATAAAACAGAAGGACAGCAGAAGGATAAACGCCAAAAAGAGAATTGAAGCAAAAGCAAAAAAAGCACCTCGTGCAGCAGCATCTTCTCTCCTTTTTAGATCCTGCAAAACAAAGAGAAACCAGATAAGTGAAAAGATGACTTTGATACACCAGCAACAAAGAGCTGAGGTGCAAATAGAGGGAAATGATATTTTCAACTCAAATAGATTAGTAACACGTAACGAGAATAGGAGGAAAGAAGAGCCGTAGGCAACAAGAGACATAATAGATGCCAATTAATTCCAAATTAAAGAAAGTAGACAGCTGCGAACTTTTCACAGGAGAATTAATCCACAACTTCTGGCTCAAAACAAGTAGACGCCTGAATGAGTTCTTGTTTGATTATATAGGCCCTCAAAGAATAGGAACAATATTTGGTAAGCAGGGAAGTAATAGAAAGTGCTCTACAAACCTCCTATCCCCCTCGTATAAATTTTTGTTAAGTGGGTGGAAGAATCTCCAAGACTTATCTTCAGATATCAGAACAAACGGTTCATCCAGTCTCTCCATCACATCACTGCAATGAGAGGAGGACGGCAAAAGGAAGCCCCTCGGCTGCAAGTATAACTATATCACAAACAGTAAACGCACAATTCCTATGGCATATGCTCTAGGGAACCTCCCATCTATTTTCAAGAATATACTACAGAACAAGTTCGTTTGCAATTCATCCATGTTCATCAGTGGTAGAAGAAGTAAGCACATTCTAAAAGAGTGAATAAACCAGAATAACGCCCCAAAAGAAATCCAGAAAATACATTAGATGGAAGGAGAAAAGAAGAGGGAAACAAGATAATAATGCTAAATTACAGACAGAAACTAACAAATATAGCCGTCATATAGGGGAAATACAATAAACATTCATCACCCAGAAAAAGGGTGTGACTATTAATAAAACACTGGTTCAAATTTTCATCATCCCATACCTGTTCCCTCCTCCGCAATTCATTCTCCTTAGACTGTAATTCTTTTTCTTTCTTTTTCAGGTCCTTTAATTCAAACAAACTTAAAGTAAGAAACCATCATAGCTACTAATGTCAAATAAGATAAAGATGACAAATCATCACAGAGATTCAGAAAGTTCCATCTACCGAAGCACTGTCAAGAGGAATATCAATTGACGCATTGCGGTCATAGAAATCAGCTGGTTCTGGCGGAAGGGGTGAAAGTCTGGAGTTTGTTGCTGGAGGCACACTCCCGGACTGAAAAGTTGATAAAAGGGAAAATATTAAGATAATACATCAAGAGGAAATGGCAAAAGATACTAGCAACTTCAAACACTCAACAAAAGAAACCAATCCATCTATTTACCCGTACTTTCTTCCTTTCTACTTCACCTCACCAACCCCATTCCCCCAACACATACACACACTAAAAAAAGGAAAAAAAATGAGGGAGGTTACAAAGATAAAGCAACTAAGCATAAGCAAAGGCTTAGTTCAGATACAGCAGCAGTTTGTAAAGGTAGAAATATTGATCTCTTACAAAAATAAGGAAAACTGGTTTCCAAACCCCGATCCCGATGTAAGCAGACTGAGATACACAAATAGGACAGAGAAAAGTATGTCCAACTTACTGTGGTATAAAATGCACCTCCACTAAATTTTGATTGCCCTGAAGATTTCCCTCTGCCTCCGCCATCCTGCAGCAAATTTCAGAAGATACTTGAGACTGTTATACAAAAAAAAAAACTAAATCATCCATTTATCCAACACTTGCACACATAGATGCCATAATTATTGTTCATGCACAGGAGGAGATCAGTGCAAAAAATATCTAAAATCCTGTGATGAGTGATCTAACATGACTCTGTGACATCATTCACTAAACTTACATTACAATGAACATAAGTCAGAACATACTATATTAGGAACACATCAAGGATTACAGGGTTCTAATATTCAAATATGTATGATGTTAATTGTTTCTCCAAAATGCCTCCAGTATTGCAAATATTAAAGCCAAAAGAAATTAACTCATCACTTTTACTACAACCACTTTTATGCCAATCATTTATATTAGATTACACATATCCGATTAAGTAGAGCCAAGGAACGGATCCACATATGATCCTGGATTTCCTTATCCATCACCACGGGAAACATTATTACCAATTGCATAATGGAACACATTTGAAATGAAAACGAGGAACCATTTTCCTTTAGACACCAACTCTTAAACTGGTCAGACACCATCAAACCCACATTACAGATAAAAGAGCTGGACTCAATGAAAGAAAAGAGATTTCCCCCATATCTCAGAATACCAAAACTAAACAACTTCCGCTAATCATAGTACTCCATATAACAATCTATAATCATATATTTCAATGTTTCCCATAGAAAACGTCAACCTACAGAAAAATCAATCACACCACTTAAGATGGTCCCAAATCAATCAATCCAACAAAGCATGGGAAATAGGACGCACCAGCTACACTTTTAATTTATTTTTTTTTTGGATTAATAAGCTCCAACTACACTTTCACAATAAAAAACGATCAACTCCAAAATATATAAAACCCAAAACCTCAAATTCAACTCAAGTCAGATTAAAGCTACATCCTTTTCAATTAACCATTACAGGAAACTGAAATATTGATTTGCAAAACCAATAAACAATAGAAAAACCCAGAAAACAAAACGATCATAACTTCATAATTAAACCGCATAGCACGAGTTAACGCCCAGAAACACACACACAAAAACAGAGCAGTAGAATCACTAAAAACTTGATCAAGTGAAGAATAACAAACATCCCACTTGCACAGCAGCAAAATAGGAAACCCCAGAACGGAAAGATAGCAACTTTCAGAATTAAACCGCAAAAAAAAAACGAAAAAAAGAGAAGAAGAAGGAACTTACAGCAAAAGGGTTAACTTCTTCTTCTTCTTCAAAAGGGTTATGATCATAACGGCCGGCCATTTCAAGAAAACTTTGCTACTTTCTGAATTTTGCCACAAAACAAGAAATTTACAGAGGGAAAGCAAAGTGTAAAACTTGAGATCTGAATAGCAAAAAATAGGTGGAAAAGGCTAAGCAGAGAAGGGGGAAAAAGGCAGAGTCTTGAAAACTATAGTAGTTTGAATGAGAAAAACAAGAAGAAAGAAAATTCCACTACAATTCTAGAGTGGTAGAAAGACAAAAGAAGAAAACAAAGAAAAGATAAAATTGGGTGGTTTTGGTCAGTTTTTAATTTTTAATTAATTAGTACCAAACATATATATAAAATAAAAAAGTTTTAATCTTTGTATGCACCAAATTACTTTAAAATTAATTACATATATTAAAAAGTGATCTAAATTATTCTTTCCAATTACATTAAATATATTTTTCAAATTGTAATTTTATGCAAGGATTTTGACGTAAATTTTAAGATTCAATTAAACGACAAAAAAATTATTTTATAATTATTAGCTTACTTAATACATATGGAGAGGATTTAATTTTTGACAATTCTCTATATTTATATCGCGCTCAGAATATAAAAATTGATTACTTTTAATATAAACCTTTTTATATTTTAATGATCGATATTATTAATATAATAATTTTATTGTAAATATAAAGGTAAATTTCTTTTTTTTTTAGGTGCTGTTTAACTTAATTTGATCTACTTATTCCTGCTTTTATTGGACAACGTGATTAGTCCTTATTAATCAATAAGAACAGCAATTGTATAGGTATAATGAAATAGATATACGGATTTTCTTACTTTTATAAATTTCCCGATAATTGAGACACAGAGAAAAGAAAATTACCCATATAAGAAAACTACAATTAATCAATCATATATGTTTTCATATGTTAGTTTCGTCCACGATAAAATAAAATTTAATTAATACTTGAATAAGGTGAATAAATATAGTTGAATATTTTTAAAATAATATATTAGACAATTATTATTGAACGGAGAATGAATAAAAATAAATATCTTTTTTTTAAGGTTCTGATCTATCTTTGTTCTCATGTTTCCACTTCCCAATCTTTTGACTAGAAAGAGAGCAAAAAGAAAAACAAAAGGAAGTTTCAGACATTGACATCCGAAAAAAAAAGGAACAGAATTATTGAAGTTCGATTATATTTAAATTTATGTTAAAAAATCTTAAAACATAAAACGATCCAACTCCATACTTAAAAGAAGACTTGAACATACTTAAAGAAGACTTGAACACCGAGAGACACCCCTGATTAATAAACATATCAATAGTATCAACACAAAAAATACATCAAAATTTGAGGTCTAAATCCCCGAATGAGTTTTAACCAATGGTGTTTTATTTATAGACCTATGCATATCATATTTCTATATTATCTTGCACACATCTTGATTAATTTTATATAATATCGATTAAACATGTCTCCTATCAAACACATATATGTGTCCGTTGTCCACCAACGTTTGTTTGGATAAATGAGAAAAATTTTATCATCTTACGCACACCTCAATTAATTACACAAAAACTTAGGTTACTATCTCCACAGATATCAATGTATCTGTACACCCATGTTTGTTTGGATAACTGAGTCCTTGTGACAAGTGTCATCATCCAATGCCAAAAGAAGATTCAAAGTTACATTCCTTATAAAGCTAAATTTATGAATCTGAAGATGTGACATTTTCTAGACAAAACTAAAAGGAAAGAATCAGAAGAGTGTTGTATATGAAATACAAAAATGTCAATTACAAGCTACTAGATTTTTTACCAAACCTGTCAGCCAAGAGAGGCACATTCATATCCATAGTAAAATACCAAAAAATGAAGTCCCATCCGTGTACGAAGGGGACCTTAACTAGGGAGATATGAGAACCAAAATAAATAACTGCTCATATTCATTAATTAAATAATACACACGCCTTACAAAATAGATTTCGAGTGATCAACTTTTAACTAACAAAATTGATATGATTCCAACAACTTCAGGGGGAGGGGGAATCTAAAGGAAAAATATGGCAGATACACTATGTGATTGTCATTACCAAATTACAGCACTATGATTCTTCACCTGCGTCGAGCTGTTGTCCATTTGAAGTAGTATTTCCAACCTGTGGTCTTTTCATAGCTGAAAGATGACAATGACAATGACAACAAATCAGTCGAGTGTTTCATATTATTTAGGTAGCAAACTCCGTGCAATTTATAGCTGTCGGCCTATGTTTACAATTGTGACTCTTTTTCAATCTAAATTGATAAGATGCTGGTTAGCTCCTGTGAACTGTTTCTCGAGAGAAGGCCCAAAATAGTCCTCTATCTTTGGCATTAGACTCAAAGGCATTCCCCTCTTCTTTCAATATGGATCACCGATAGTTAATTTTGAAAAAAAAATGCCAATGAAAAGATTGTAGATTCTATTATACTTATCAACCAAGAGAAATGATTGGCAATTTTTTGTATTTCCTACTCCAGTGTCAGTCAATTGATGTGAGACTCTTCTTTATAGTTTATCCCAAAAAGAATGTCCCTTTTTCAAAATTTATCAATTTTTAGCTTTAATATTCTCATTTTACCTTAAATGAAATGATTTAGCACCACAGAACAGAATAGGCAAAATTAAAACAATCAAAAAGTTACCAGTCAAGGCAGTGACTATCTGAATCATTTAAAATTAGGCAAACATTTCAAGAGGGGAAAATTCAAATAGCAAAGGAAGACTCACATTTGATGGATGATCCAGCCAGACAAGTCAGCCTGGATTTTGTATTGACCTCAGCCAGTGGATTTGGCTTATCTTTGTTAGTCATGCGAACATCCCAAACACGTATGACCCCATCTGATGATGCTGATGCTACTATGTGTTGATGATCTTCAGCATCACCATCACTGTTTTTGTGTAGCACAACAATGCCTTTCACACGGGTAGAATGTGCATCTTCAATGCTATATGCAAGTTTTCCACTAGTAATGTCCCAAGCTTTAATACTCCGGTCCTCTCCCCCAGTAAACAAAATACCATGCTGTAAAATATTACTTTCAGCTTCAAGAAGTAAATCAAATAATTGGAAGGGAAAAAAAACTGGAGCCTACAACTAAACATTCCATGATCTATATAATCCTGATTGTTTTCATCGTGCTTTGAAAGTGGGGTGGTAGGACACCAAGTGCAAGATGATAGACAAGTAAAAGAATGTACAACATGCAGGGAAAAGGATGGGACAGAAAGCACCCAAGGTGTGGTTTTTGGTGTTAATGAATCTGGAATATACAAAAAAAAATGCTAGGTGATTTTATTGGATAAAAGTAACTAACACCTGCACTGGTGGAAAATAGCAGTTGCAAGTCGACCCAAACAATACCATTATACAAAAAAAATGAGGATTGAAAATTTAAAAAGAAAGTGAAAGCACACAAGAGACTCATTTTCAGAAATACGTTAAATAATATATGAAATTAAGATATATAAGAAAACTGGAGCCTTTTATGTGTAGCAAATATTAACCACCAATAACACACTTTCTATGATACCTAAGGAACAATCTAACTAGGTAGCTTCCCGACTCCATCATATTCTTTTTGGTCATGATATCTGATTTTTTTTTTGACAGTACACCATCAACATTCTCATGTTTCAGATTCCAGTATAGTCCACATTATCTCAATTAACCCATATATGCACTTAATGAACAGGTTGAAAGTATGTTTTATCACTGTGCAAACAAGACACCAAGAGACGGGACTTGCTAGAAACAGATATAGGCAAACTGCATTCTGAAAACTTCAGTTGAGGACTTTGATTAGCTATATAAGCTTCTCTACTGTCTATTTGGGTTAAGAAGAAATAAAAGTGTATATCCCCCCACCAACTGATCCCATTACAGACGGAAAAATCAAATAATTTGCCACCAAAATCCAGTGACAGAGGAACAAATGGCTATTCTACAATCCAGTGACAGAGTAACAGATGGCCATTCTACAACTCAGTGACAGAGTAACAGATGGCTATTCTACTTGCTACTGGTTGAGCCTCATAAACACTCTTAAGAAAGTATAATGGTCTAAGGATCTCCACAAATTAACGAGGCACACAACCACAAGAGGTGAATACAAAAGCACAGTTCATAATGGATAAATAATGATTTTTTTTTTGCAATGGTCTAGAAAGTGATAATCAATACAGTAAGTTGGTGATCAAAATATGTCAGTACAAAAATTGAGGAGAGTTCAATCTAGTAATAGTCCAGAAAACTCACCATCCCATAAGTGGCACAAAGCACCCTCTTCTTACTGTCAAGCTCTAGAATAGCTTTGGCATCTTCAGATTCATGTACAGAAATCTTATCATCCATAACCATAAAAAACTTTTCACCACCATCACTAAAATTAACTAAAGAAGCTTCTTTTCCCAACCTACAATAAAAACTTCTCCTTCCTCTAACCAAATTAACCATAGCCATACATTCATCTCTTCCAACAGTCAATGCCAACCTCCCCGACGGATGAATGCATATAGAATTCACTGCCTTACGATGCACTTTAACCGTCTTGAGATGAACAAAAGGATCAGCATCATATATGGAAACCGAACCATCTTCAGACGCGGCAATAAGGTTACGAGGGAAGGAGAATGAAGAAGGGGTAAAAAAGGAAAGTGAAGTAACGGTGGCGGAGTGGTGTAGTGACCCAATTTCTGAGCAAGTAGAAAGGTCATAGATTTTGATAGTGTCATCGGCGCCGCCGGATACAGCGGCAGAACCGGCGACGGCGGTGCATTTAATTGGTGAGAGATGTGAAGGGAAGGAGAATAGAGGGGTTAGTTCGTAATTCTGATCGTTTTTGAGGGATCTCAACTTGAATCCCCAAATGAATCTCTCGTATGAACCTGCAATTAAACTCATAGCTTTACGCAGCGATGAGAGAGAGAGAAAAAAAGGGGTTTATGTTAAACCCTAGGAAGAGAATTAAGGTAATGTGAACGAAGAAGATAGTGGGCCGGGTTATTTTCTTGGATTTTATTTGGGCCGATTTGGGTGGGTGGGCTTACTTAATTACATATTTATCCAAGTTTTGGTCTGAATACGTTATCTATGAACGAGTGATTTGCATGTATTTGGAATATACTGTCTCTTTCCATGGCTCACCTTTCTTCCATTTCAATTGCATCTATCCTTCTCTCGTTCCTTTTCATTCCACGTATCTTTGTCTCACAATGTATCTGTGTATATATACAAGCTTGTATCAATTTCTATAAGGGTATATGTGTTTGGTCGACAGTTTCATCTGGTGTATCTAATACCAATTTCATATAATGTATCCGATATCAAGTATCTAGTGTATTCAATATTGGATACAATGTATCCGAAGACAAACTTGGATAGTTTATCTGCAATGTATTTAGTTCATCTTTGAATCGATACATATATCTTGTATATATATATATATATATATATATATATATATATATATATATATATGATATATCAAATTGTATCGCGCATAAATACATACTTAAGAAGAAGAAGAAAGATGATCATTGTCTCATCACAGGCAATGAAGCCACCAGTCCGTGAAATTTCCAGCCACAAGCTTCACTAGCGGTATTGTCGTGGTAGATCAAACAAAGGTTTTCAATTTCTCAACCTAGGGTTGAATATATGAACTAATTTATATACCACGCGATTCATTAGAGAGGGCAAGAGAGGGAGAAAGGTGAGTTAGCGAGGGAGGAGAGAAGCGAGTGAGAGAAGTTATAAGAGTTCGTTTAACATAACGAAAATTGGGTACCTGTAATTTAAACATTATTGATCAAAAAATTCAATTCAACTGGGTATTTAGATTCCAATCTTCAATCCTTCAATATATAGAGACATTTCTCAACAATAAATTTCATGTTTTGGTCTTTTTCCAATGTATTGAAGAAACTGGAACTTAAAATCAAAAGAAACAGTGTGGTAACCGAAGGCTAGTTACAAAAAAAAAAATTGATGTACATAAATGAGAAGTGAAAAAAAATAAAGTTAAAAAGAAGAAAAATTAGGAGAAACTAAACCTATATATGTAATGAACTAATGATGAGATTCATGGGGCCTAAAAAGAAAGAACAAATTACAAGGCTCAACCTATGAACCTTTTGTTTTATCTATCCCATTGCTTATCTCAGCTTCTTCACCTTTGATTTTCGCCTTTGTTTATACAGCTGTCTACGTCTCTGGCTAGCTTTAAACGGATCTGCCCAGTTCTTGTCCTGCTTCACAGCTCGTTCCCATCGATCCTTGAATATTTGCAGCTCATAAGTTGATTGTCTCCGAATCTGCAAAATGGGAAGGCAGTTTTATGAAAACAAGGGGCAGATAGACAATAGTAATGCACACAACATGAACAATGCCATGAAAAAAGAAAGTTATATGAAATAAATAGGTTGTCGTATAAGCAGACACTCACCTCAGATCGCACATCAACAACGTGCCTCTGTAGGTTAAGGAAAAGAAAATGAAAATCAAGGACAAGAATCAGTTAAAACATCAGCAGAAGAAGTTAGATGTTGGGAAAATTAAACTCTCAAAGTACAAAGTAGAATTGGATGTATACCTTCACAGACTCTTCAGAATTTGAATCCTGCACATAGAAAAAAAGCATGGTGAATGGAGGTATAAAGAAGCAAACACAACAATTATTATAATATAGCCTCTATATGTAGACTTAAAGAACACCTTATCTAACATATTCGGGATGATTAATGAGGATAGTTGCATAAACAAATCAGAAGTCTTTGATAAGTGACATAGAGAGTTACCTTTTTCAGTGATTGTCCGCCCAAAGTTTGGATGCTCTGGTGCACTACATATTCACTATCAACTACTCCCACCTTTTTGGATCGATCTCCCTATGATAATATAAAATTCACGTAGGTTTAGGGCTGTATCAGAACATAATGTTTTAAAGAGTAAAGAGAAATGTATAGCAATTTACAATTTAGATTACACTCCGTAGACAGAGGGCATAAAAACATACACAGGAAGGGATGAGAGGTTCATCTTGTAAATTAACAAGTTGAAAAGAAAGTTCACCTGTGCACAATAACCAAGTTTCATGTCCATTCCCCATCCATGAACAAGATCATTCTGACAGGAAAGAGGCAAAGAGCAACCATTAGCAGCTCATGTAAACAGGATGATGAATCAGTACAAGAGTGGAAAATGAAAGTGGATAGTGCGTCCACACGGCATGTCAAAAGTGCATGTGGAAAATTAATTCAAGAACATCGCTGAAACTTAGAGCACATTAACAGTATACGAGCATTTCAATCCAAAATGAAAACAAACATGATTAGAAGATGAGCAAATGCAACAATTTATATGGTACTGTTTAAGTTCTGACACAAACCAGACATAGTCATCATCTCTAAGAGAACACTGCTCCCCACTCCACCAAGAAGAATGTAACTTAGAGCACAGGCGCACACAGTAGAATTCTTAATTTTAAGCTGCCAGAATTCTTCAAAATGAACCACTCATTGGGATGATCAACTAAACAAAGTGACAAAAACACTAGCACTCAATCAAAACACACTTCTAGGATACTTTTGCCAGCCTCTTTCAAATCGAAAATCAAAATATCCAAATCCAACATCCTCCTCAAAACTTACAATTATATTCTTTTTTTTTTTGAGCATTGGTAAAGTTACATTTATATTCTCTTTTTTTTTTTTTTTTGAGAAAGGTAACATTCACTTACATTTATATTCCTGATTTAAGTGTATGCATAGAGTTCTTAATAAAGGCTTGAAAATGTCCTATCTCAGCAAAGAGAGAAACAAAGTTCTACCTGTATAAGATGCCAGGCACAAAGCCATGCAGATCTGGAAAAGACCGGAGCCATTCCCTCCACAAATCTGTAAAGGAGAGTGAATCAACCATTCTTCTAATGCATGATAAAGAAAATCCGGAAGAACTAGCATCTACCTCAAGACACTCGAGAAGTTAAATATTCTCAAAATCTTTTTTTTTTTTGTAGAACAAAATTGTAGGAAGAGAATATATAACAGGGTCAACTTGAACATCAGGAACTGATGCAAAAACTTATCCTGACCAACCAATGCCCAAAGTCTCATAACAGTCTTATCCAGTAATTGTGTTACACTTACCCGGTGCATGGGGGACCTTCGCTTTCGTCTGAACACTTCGTACTACCTCTAATATCGTAGACCCTTCTGCAAAAAGGAATTGTGCATCAGTATTCATCCAAAGGAGGTGCAATAAAAGGTTGAATTTGGGTGGTTGGATAGCCTGGCGGACTTACCTGTGGAACCTATTTGTTCTGCTTCTTATTGTGATTCTATGATGGATACCAGTTGAATTCGGGTCTAAAGCTGGCTGAGAAATTTCCAGTCCTTCAGATTTTACTATTTCAAGGTACCTAAATAACAAAAGATGCAATTGAAAGAAAATTATAATTAGCAAAGAGGCATGTAAGACTTGTTGCTTTCATGATAACTAACAACCATCCTTCTAGAGCAAGAAGCCCCATAAAAAAGGAAGCCTGATTAACAGAGTACGCAATAGAAATCATCCATTGACATGACAATGTAAATACAATAAACTGTGGATACTAAATGAAGCAACTACTGTTTATCTCCTCAAAAGCTCGGAATGCCCAAATAAACATGTCATGACTTTTGACACCAAATGCTTGAGAAATAATAGGAGAGGAAAAATATCCAGGATCATAGAAACAAACTCATACTAATTTATATTTAAAATGATAACATCTGCCTATTTCTAAGAAAGGAATCTATAGGATCATTGTTCACAATAATCCACCAGGAGATATCAAATGATTAGATCTGTTTTATTTCCACAAAAAGAGTTAATAGAAAATATATTCACAATACTCACCAGGAGTGAACGAATTGTATCTAATGTATCTATTGGTGGATTAAAAATGTAAGATAAACAGAAAGCCAACTTCAACCTCGTGCAATCATCTTACCTTCCAGGATGGAAATTCTCCACACCCAAATCTTCATCCCAAAGGAAAATGTAATCATAAATTGAAACAACTGCAGGATGTAAAAATCTCTTCGCAAACCACCTGCATCAGATAAATTCACAACAATGGTGAGATATCATTTAGCATAAACCATACAAGCTAGATGCATCCACAATGATGAAAACTTTGCATAAGAAGAATACTAGAACCCTAAAGAAATTAAATAACACTTTGCATACAGCCAAAAGATGAGACCAACTTAGGATATATTAGGAGTTCATTCAGTCAAAAAGTCATGAAGAACAAGATAGCATCATTTGTTCAGCAAAGGTTGCAGGGTAACAATTCCATCCAGCCAAAAGATGAGACCAACTTAGGGTATATTAGGAGTATATTAAGTCTAGATTCATGAAGAACAAGATGTCATCATTTGTTCAGCGAAGGATTGCAGGGTATCCTGGATGGTTATTATGAAACAGACTAATTTCCAGCAACTCTGTGTTGGATCAGTAGATATAAACTTTCAGAATTAATGAGAAGCACAGATTAATCTCAAGCAACTTGTGGCCTAAGGATTACTCGGTTTTCACTAAAATCACACTGCAGATCAGTTGAACAGCACTTCTAAATCACAGAAAATATTGCTAGTCCAGGTGGCTAAGGTGTTCCCTCTAATGTGAATAAATCTGCCCGTGTCAATTTAATCCCCTATGGAGTGTGTATCTTACCATTTTGTCTGATTGTGAGCAACAATGTGAATGGCATCTTTACTCCATTGGAGGTCTTCCCACCCATCAACATTACCATCATAGTGGAATAGAATGACAGTAAAATTTGCTGAAAGAAACTGAACATCACAAGATAAGGTCACAGGTATATATAAGATAGTAAAATCAGAAAGTACCACAACATAAGTGCTCTCCATAACAAGCATAAATTAGATGTTATACCTTTTGGACGAGAGCATCAACATTGCTCTTCTGTTTGATGCCAACTGGAACTGCCAATAAATTATGAGAGCTAGAATTGCTAGCCTGAAATGGAGACACAACATTGCCACAAATTAAATGCATGACAGAGTGACAGACAGCACAGAGAGGGAAAAAGTGTGGTAATAAATAAGATATCAGTATCCTAAGGAGGTTGCTCTATTTTTTCAAAGTTCAGGAGTATAGAGAGTAAGACCTTTGCCTTTGACTTTGAACTAGTTGTTGACCACAGAGGCTTTAACTCCAGATCTGATCTTGCTTGGATAATACCACGCGGTAAACTGTGCAAGCTTCTCATATCCATACTAGAGTCCTGGTTGAAAGAATAAAAAGCATCACCATTGGTATAAGGATTTTTTAGGGGTAAATTAGTTCACCCAAAAAAATAAATTCTTTTTGGTGCTGAATTTAAGCGGATGCCACTCCACCACTTATAGTATTCCATTGTTTACTTATGTTGTGCACACCTTCTTTAGATTACAAGAAATAGTAATGATGAATTATAGAACTTCTTGAATTTCAAAAAATAAATCCTGTTGGTACTACCTGTGATGTGCAAGGTACAAAATCTAGTATTCTAAAAAAAGGAACATAACTACCTTTGAAGAATAAAACGGATCCAACCTTGACTCCATCTGAAAAGGTAAACAGGGAAAGGAAAATGTTTTTAGCAACATTGTATTAGGGTAATCAAGTAAAGCACAATTAGAAGGTCAATATATAAACTTGTACGCCACCAAATGTGTATCATCTGGCCTCTCTCGGTTTGATAAATGGAAAGTTCTCTCTTATACTTTCACATGCGACCCTCTAAATGTCAAAATTAGAAGTAGCAAATGTTAGCAAATCAATGGCAGTACAATGCAATCATACCTCTGTCTGTTGATACTGATAATTGGTGGTCCTATATACAATAAACAACATAACTATACAGATGATCCACATAAATGGTAGCTGTCTCATCTTTACTCCACATGTTCCCTGCAATTCAATTTCACAAGTTAATGTTTAATAAATCTATGGATTGTTAGCTAGATAATCAGGTCATTAGTAATTCCTAACCAGATAGCATTTACATACCCCGTCAAGGAGAACACTCCTTTTCTTCAGCAGAAACACCGCCATAATTTAATTGCCTGTTGCAGGCGAATATGAAACAGAAAAAGTTCTCATCGAACACTGCAACAAATATACACATATCAACAACTAGTCTTAACAAAGAATCTAGCAAAATAGATTTTAAAGCCGTTACACATTTATCTCTTTTCTGCAATTCATTAACTGATGAACATTATTTCTAATATAAAATCTCCAACGGAATTCCGTATCTAGCAAACAACGCATACAAGGAAAAGAATGTTGTGCTAGCTATCAGTTTGACCAAAATGGAATGAAACTTAAATGTACATAAGATTGCCTAGTAACTCTCTCACTCAGCCGATTTAACAGGTTATTAACACACATGAATACAGTAACCAATTTCTTTTGACACCATTTATGGACAAAACCCAAAAAGGATCTAGCGACCAATATTCTATAATCTGATTAGATCACAAAATTATGAGTTACCCACACAACTACACAGTCAGGCAACAATATCTGCTTGTAAATGAGAGGTCATTTTGCATTTGTGGTCACTAGTGGTTGACTAGATGTGCCCTGGAGGTAATCAAGCGTGTGAAACATTGGGAGACGATTATAGAACTGACAGGTCATTTTGAATTCAGGGTTGCTACTGGTAGACTGGATGTGCCCAAGAGGTAATGGAGTGTGTGAAAACTTTGGGACTAGTAGCTAGGTGAATGAAATGGACTAATACTATGGGAGAGTGGAAAAGATAAAAAACGCTAAGTGACCTCTTTCCATCGGAAAAAGCATTGGCAGAAAAATTTACCTAGTGAAAGATAGCAAGTGTTATGGCTGAGGTGTGAGCAAATTAATTGTAGACCACGCCCTTATCAACAAAAGGAAAGCAGTTGCAAGTTCAGTAAGCTATTCCAAGACAACTCATTCTTTGCCTCTTTCCATCCCCACCAACAAACCGACCGAAAAAATGGAAAAGGCAGTGTTGTCAATGATAAGATGTCTAATTTGAATGTAGAGACAGAGAATATGACAATTAAGTGACACGCAAGCGTTTGACAAAGTTGACGAATTCCACTAACAGTTGTCACCTTGTTTGATTTTCATGTATGCCAGAATTTTTCTCGGAACAACATTTGCAATTCACACGGCATCAAGACTACCAAAAAAATTGTTCAACCCACATTCTATGTTTTAATCTAACCAATTCATATAGTTCTATATTTATCTGCGTTGAACTAAGAACCATGTAAAACTAGATAAATGAATCTGGAAAATAACAGTAGTGATTAACAAAAATCTATCCTCCTCCCTACAAAAAGAAAATTGTGATTCAGAGTTTTTTAATTCCAAATAAAAAAGCTCACAGCAAACAGACGAAATTCCTAACATCTGCTCATTTTTTTTACAAATTTTGCAAATCCTATAACGAATTCAAAATTATTGATGAGGGAAACCATTGTTCAATAGGATCCAAAAAATAGGAGAATTCAAAAGACCAGGGGACAAAATTAAATGAAGAGAAGACGTTACTTGAAGTAATCAGTTTTCAAGATTACAACAAACAACCATTCAATGCATACTTAACCAACCATTAATTACACAAACACTAGCATTAATAAAACTTCGAAAAGCTAATGAATCTGATCAACTCACGCCACCCCATTAATTAAAGACTTGATCTTTTTTCAAGAACAATCACACCCAACTCCACCATGGGCTTAATTGTCATTACTCAACAACCTCCATAACAGCACCAAAAATCAAGAACCAAGAAAGATTGAAAACATACCTCAAGAACTGAAAACCCAACAAGGGTTTGTAGCAAAATAGCAACCCAACAGCTCCAGAATCTTGAAAAGTGAAAAAAAAAGTGAACCTTGAAGAACAAGTTCAAGTCTTTATCAGCAAAAACAGAACAGAAAATGGGACAAATCTACATATATGTATAGGTAAGCATATAGATACAGTATAGATATTGAAAGAAGTGAACAAAGGGTAGCAGTGGGGGGGGTAGGGGGTGTAGGTGGGGGTGGGGTTAAAGAAGGAGGAGGAGGGTTAGGCAAAAGAAAGAGTCTTTGAGAGAGACGAAATTGTTGGAAAGTACCTCGGTTTAAGGTGGCTCCTTTGCTTTCTCTAATCTACTATATACTGTAATAATGCACCTGTAATCACCTCCATTTTTGGTTTTTCTTTTTTTAATTCAACTGTTAATACTTTAATCTTATTTAGTTAAGAATACACAAAAATTGATGATGTACATAGTATTATTAAATTACAGAAATAATTAAATATTTTTGTTGTGGTATGATGTTTGCTAAAGTGTTTTGTGTATATGGTGTCCCTGGGAAATAAATAATTAACATATGCACGTAGTATAATTGTAGATTCGTGGACGGATCTAGGAGAAGGCGAGCATATTAATTTAAATTTCTTTAAAAAAAATTAAATAATATAGGGGAAAAGGATAAATATTGTCTCGAATTAATAATTTTATGGCATTGATGTTTCTATCGTTCAAAAATTAAAGCATGTATACTCTTTATAGTAACATACATACCTGAGTCAAAAAATAAATAATTAAATCATGAAGATATCCCAATTCAAATCATAAAAAATAACTTATTCAAATTAAATTCGAATTAATAATTAGATCAGTTAATATTGAATACAAGATAAGTATTTGAAAGAGAAGAAAAAAACAATATTGTGTATTTGACAATTGTATGTTAATCCATGGGATAAAGGATTTGAAAAATATCTCAATTTTGATCGAATTTGTTGTTGCGATACTAAATTTTCATACGAACCTACTAACTCCCTGAGCTATTTAATAGTGTATTTTAATTATATATATATATATATATATATATATATATATAAATGGAAACACGTATTTTTTATCTATATATGATAATGATGATATATCAAGTCGATATAATCACATAATTAATCAAGAAGAAAATTGTGACATGAGCAAAGACTTTATTATAAGAAACGTGTTCTATCAATAGAAGGTCAATTTTGGTGTTGACGTGTTGTATATTTCTACAAAATTTGGTTTTTAGTTTTAATCTTTTCTTTTTAATTTAACATATTTTTAATTCAATTTATAAAGGAGGTGGTTTAAAAAATGTATTCATTTTAAATTTATAACAAGTCATCCTAAAATCTGCATTATAAATAGTTTATATATAACTTATTTGAATGTAATCCTAATATTTTTGCAAATTGGAAAACTAAAAAATATTTTAGTGTTATTGATGCATGTTGATTATTCTAGAAAATTAGTTTTGACGTTTTGATTAACTTAATTAAAGTAAAAATGTCGAGTATTTATTTCTGGAATATTATTTTAACAATTTTTTTGCAAAATTTCGTAACTGAATTTCTCTAAATGAATCCTTCAAGTTGGAAGTTTGTTAAGTTCAATTAATTTACCAAACTTGCCGTTAAATTTTATTCGGAAAATAAAAAAAAATTGGTTGAAAAGTGCAATTTTTTGAAAAAAAAATTAAAATATATATTTTGGTTTTCCAATATATATGTGTGTTTTTGTTTGCCAACTTCTACCTAATATAAATAAATATTTCTAATATTTTTTTAAAAATTATGTGAATCGTAGTGTATGTCGGTGTTTTCAAATGGAGCAGCTGATTACTGATTTTAATACATTTATTTAGTTCGAATAAAATCTTATATTAAAAAACGATCATATATAATCTCTAAAAAGTTATTCATTAAAAATATAAATTATCAATTTTTTATAAGTTTTCCACTTCAAAATTAATTTCTATTAGTTGCTCCTTTTTTGTTTTATAATAAAAGAGAGTAACTAATAATTAATATAGAACTTGCGAAAAAATAATTCAAATATTTTTTTATTATCGATATCGACATAGAACTTTACATTGATGATTGTTTATAGTTTGAATTTATGTAGGAGTAGTTAAGTAGACAAAGCTCTCGAAAAATAAAACATTTTTGGCTTCTTAATTATTTTTGTGAATAATTTCAACAATTTGTTTGGTGCAATAATATGCCTTCTTTTGGAACTTTTTAAATATTTTGGGGTCCAGAAGAAGATGAGATTTGGTAATTTTTGCACCTAATTTATATGGACATTCAACTTTAAATGATTGCAACAAAAAAACAAAAAAAAAAGTTTTATTTTTCTAATTTTGTGGTGGTCAAGATTAAAGAATTGATAAAAAAAAAGTATCTATTAATTAGTAAATAAGTATCTGGTTGGATTTACGTGTTAATAATAAAGTCAATTTTTGACTTATATTACCTTGTATTATTATCAGAAAAAATGGTTCTATTAAACATAATAATAATAAACTTGTAATTTTTAACCTTGCATCAAGTGAAAATGGTGTGACTAGTATATAAGTGAAATATGAAATTATAAATATATAGAAAAAGAATAAAAAAAGAGTAGATTATTATTAGTAGAATCTAGTAGCTAGCTATACATAAATCATGTGAATCGAAATTGAAGGCGTGTGGGTGCATGTAAAATACTTGTGACCTTTCATGATGCTAGCTATTTTGATGATGTTTTTGGGATCTTATTTAACGATATAATATAAAATTATGAGATAAAATTAAAAAAAAATTTATAAGTATTTTGAAAATTTATGTTGCATGTTTTGTCGCAACACATAAAATTTCAAGTTATAAAACTTTTAAGATTATCTCAATTTTTTAATAATCTTACCAAATAAGTAAAATTTTATAAACAATCATAAATGTATTCTTTAAAGTTGCAATATTTATTGATCAAAGTTCTTTTCAATAAAAAAATGAAATTAAACGTAAGTTGTGATATACTAGTTGTTAATATAATCTTTTCATATAATACGGATAATTTCTCACGTTAAATTTGCAGTTCTCGTTCATGTGATTAAAAAGACGAATAAACATTGTTTCTTTAATTTCATCGGTAAATAAATTTGACAAAGAATAAAAAATTTGATGAATAAAATAGTTTCAAAAAGCAATGATATGAATTATAATTTTTTTTACATATGAAATAAATGTGAGTAGTTTTATAAAATATAAATTTATTGATCAACTTTATATTAAAAAAATCTCAAATCGTTATTTTATATACAAATATTAATTTTATGTCATAATTTCATATCTCGACGTAAACTTACATGTCCAACGCCTACTTAATTAATATGAGGCCACTGCTATTTGTGAGATTGAATATTTTATTATTTCTTATTTTTTTTCTCTCCTTATTCTATAGGCCCTATTATTTAATTTCTTGTTTTTTCCATTGTTTTTAGGGGGTGGGGGGGTCACATGAGAAAAGTGAGGAAAAAGTGTATTAACAAGGCTTTTTGGGATTTTGGTCGGAACAAAGATTTATTTGGTATTTCTTTTTCTTTGCAATTATTAGACCTAACACCTTTTTTTTTGGTTTCTTAAAATTATTATTTGAACTACCTGCCTAATTTTCGGTACAATTAAGTTAGGTTTATCTTTCTTTTTTTTGGTGGGATAGTTGGGTGGAGATGGATTAATAAATATTTTAAGTGTAATTTAAATTTATAGTAACATAAAAATTATTTTTATATGTTCTAGCTATAGTTTGCATAATTACGCTTTTAATATGTATAATTCTCTAGATACATTCAGTTTTATATAAATTGTTCATTTCTGTATAAACTCATTTATGCATTGTAATTTGTATGATAAAATTCGTATTGTGTAATTATAAGTGTATAAGACAAAAATATATGTATTTGTATAGACATGTTCTCTCGCTTTGTACAAAAACAAACATATTTTATACATTTATATATCAAAAATGACTAATTGTATACCGAATCAAATTAAAAAAAGATGGAATATTTGCTGTGAGTTACGAATAACATAAATTATGAATATAACATTAAATTTGAATTAATAATTTATTATTTCATGTTATTTTTCGATAAGTTAATTCTTTAATTATGGATAAATTTGAGTGTATAGTTAACCTTCATGGTGTACTTGAAACGAGCATTTCTTATCACCATGGTTATGAATATTCATAAATTTTTGAAAATGATTATCTAATATACCTATTTAATTATTCACGTGTGGAAGAATTATTATACTACCAAGCAACATTCATGAAGTGATAACTATATTTTTATTATACTAACGAGCAAACATTCATGAAGTAGTTATTTATTAAATCGACGTAGAAATCACAGTCTAGTGTCAATCACAGTCTAGGTTTGGAGGGTATTTTATATTATTTTATTTTGCTTGTTTAAGACTTTCTCTATTCATAATTATTCATTCACTTGATATATTTATTAATAAAATAATAGTAATATAGTGAAATTATTATTTTATCTTTATTAATTGTAAAATGAATAAAATTAAAAAATTTAAAATTTTCAAAAAGAATTATTTTTTCTAAATAATTAATTAAGAATATTATAAGTAAAAAAAATTATTATTTTTTAATTTATCATAATAAATAAATAACTAGAGATAACGAAAAAAGAAAAGTGAAAAAAGTATAAGTAATATTTCCGTGATACGAGCCTTAATTTTTTTATGTTTATTTTATAAAAAATAATGGGAAAAAGTGAAGAATTAACTTCTTTCGTCAATAAAATAAAATCAGTTCATCTCCAATAAATACACCCAATATTATTTTAAATCCTAGTATTTGTTTTCTCAATAAATTAATATATAATCTCTTAATCTATGTAGCAACATATTTTAAGTCCCATAACTTGCATTAAAAAAATAAAATGAAGATCTAAAGTAAAATTGATCTATGATATTGGGGCGGTTCAAAACTGAACTGAAATCGATAAGTTGAATTGATAAAAAAATTATTGATTTTTATAGTATTGGGTTATTAGTTTAGTGGTTTTGATTTTTTTTTAATTATCGGGTTATCGATTCTTAACGGTTTGAAGTTTTTTCTTAACGGGTTAACTGATAACGGATAGTAAATTAAATAACTATATTTATACCATTTTGTATATAAAGTCCTCAACTTAGAGTTTAATTTCCTACTTTTATTTTTGATTGTCTCAAACACTTGTTATTCTACCATGTAAAAGTGTTTTGCT